GATCTGTGTCTGAAAGTCAGTAGTGATGTCACACAATATGGTTGTGTTAGTGTCTGTGTCATCTTTTATGTTCAGTAGTATTTGTTTTATGGAGCTGAGTGCGCCAGCATTTGGTGCATATGTATTTACAAATATTATCTCTACTTCTTGGATTATTCCCTTAACTAGTGTGTAGCGACCTTCTTTCTCTCTTCCAAACAGTTTTAGCTTGAAGGTTACTTCGAGAGCAAAATCACTACTCCTGCTTGTGTTCAGGTTCCTGTTGCATGGAATATTTTTTTCATGCTTTGATTTTTAGTTTATGTATATCATTTAGGATTAGAAAAGTTTCTTGAAAGCAAGACTGTTGGATTCTGTTTTTGTTTTTGATTCAATCTCCCAATCTGTCTTTCATTTGAAGAGTTCAGGACAGTAACATTGAGAGTTATCACTGAAACTTGCACATTTGTGCCTGTCACTACGATTTTCTTCTGTTCATGACTCCTTTGCTTTTTTTTTTTTTTTCTTGTTTATCTATTCAGATTGCTTGATGTATTCATTCCATCTGGATTTTGGCTTTGTTGACATTTTTTTTTTTCTGTGTAGGTTATTCTTCAGTATTTTCTTTTTTTGAGTATAATTTTTTAAAAAATAGTTTTATTGAGAAACAAATCTTTAGTATTTTTAAGAATACTGGTTTGGTGTTTCTAAGTCTCTTACGTTGTTTTTTTTTATGGAGTGTTCTTATTTCTCTGTTTATCTTGAAAGAAAGTTTTTCTAGGTATGTTATTCAACTTTGAAAGATGTTTGCATTTAGGTGTTGAAATATTTAATCTCAGTCTCTTCTGGTCTTTAAAGATTGTGTTGAAAAGTTTGTTATATTTTAAATGGCTTTATCTTTATACGATTTTGCTTTTTTTGGACAGCTTTTAAAATTCTGTTTTTTTCAGTTAGAATTGAATTTTTAGTATATGTCCTAGAGAGCTTCTTTTTTTTTCATTGTAGCTTGTTGGTGTTCTTAACTATATGTTGAATTCCTTCTAAATACTTAAGAAGTTTACTATTATTTCTGTAAATGAATGTTTATTTCTTGGGTGCAGCCTTCTTGTTTTGCTATAACTCCAGTTAGCCTTACTTTTGTCTTTGTGTTGTCTAGTAGCTGTTGAAGGAACTTTCCTGGTTCTCATTTTTAAGTCTTCTCACCTGTGTGAGCTAGCGGGTTGGCAGAGTTCCATGGGAACTCACAAGTGCGTTCACACACTGGCAGGCCTTCTGCAGGAGTCCGTGGGTGGTTGGCCAGCAGGCGGTTGCTCCTAGAGTCAGCATGTGCTCTTGCCCTGGCAGTGGTCCATGGGAATCCACGGGAATCCATTGGAATTCACAGATGAGCTCACACACCCCTATGGGGCCTGTGGGAATCCGTGTGTTTATTCCCAGCCATGGGACTGACCGCAGGAATCAGGCAGGTTTGCTCTTTGCTTTTAGGTGGGGGACTCAGGAGTCAGAAGAAAGGAAGTCCACCAGCTCTGTTTGTTTTTATCCTCTTTCTACTTAGAGGGGGGTGGTATCCCTTGCTCAGGCTGTACTGTTACTCAGTTTTTGGAGAAGGAGCTGGTATAGGTAGAGTCTGATTCAAGAGTCGAGCCTCTGCGGTGCTTGTTTCTGCCCTCAGGATGTTTGAAGTATTTTCATAAACATTATTTCCAGGAGAGGGAGGGCTGTAGTGCTGTGAACCGGGCACCTTCATACCACTTCTGCTCCTCAGTCATCTAACTGTCTAGTTCGATGTGCACTGGGCACCTGTCTGATTAATTTTCTGTTTTAGGATGTAAGTCCCACCCCCACTACAGTACTTGTGGCTTCAATGACTCCTCTCTGAGTATCTCTGACAGGACTGCTCTATCAGTCAGCACTGTTGCGATTTCGCTAGGGTCTAAAGTAAGTTTCCATCGTTGTTATCATGTTTCCAACCTCCAGTCCCAATTCCAAAGTCTTCGTCTTTGTGCTAAAGCTCTTGCTTAATTATCTTCCCCCATTTTGCCTCTCCTGAGACTGAGACCTGCTTTGTTTTTGCCAGGCCTAATTGTTGCCGCTGGAGCCAGCCACTCAGCTCCTCGGCTACGTGTCCAGCTGGCATCGGAACTGCTGTAGGTTTCCCTGAGTTTGACTTCCGGCCAGCTGTTTGCCAGCTCCTCTGCAGTTTTTGACCTGTGGCAGAGTCTGTTCCTCCAGATAATGAGTCCTTTGCCCAGTCAGATTCCAGGCTTCAAAGACAACAGTGAGAAAGACTGAAAAGCATATGGGAGCATTTGCCCTTCTTTTAGAAAAACAGAGTTAATTTTTTTTCACCTCAAAACAGAATTGAATTGGGAGGCCAGTTGTCCAGAGAATTATATTTTTGTGTTATCAACAAGCATTTCATAAAGAGCAAGGACAACAACACTTAGTTTTTTCTTTCTTCCTATTACTAAAAATGCAACTTCCTGGACACAATACAGAAAGTTAACCACAGGAGAATATAATACTCATAGTTCATTTTACCAGTTAAAAAAAGGCTTGCTTTGAACAATAATGCCAATGAGTCATCAATGTGGAGCACAGAGTGTGCGTGCGCGCGCACACACACACACACACACACACACAAATGGAGTGCAAGTACAAGCAAGCAAGGTGACTTCTTCATAGCATTAAAAGTAAGGGTACTTGGGACTGGTGAGATGGCTCAGTGGTCTAAAGCACTTACTTAGAACAAGCTTAGCAAAGCACAGGGACTGGTTCAATCCCCCAGCACCACATGCCAGCCAGCCCCGCCCCCTGGTGGGCTGAGCTGGCCACACACACACACACACACACACACACATTAATAAATAAATTAAAAAAAATAAAAGTAAGGGTACTGGGGTAGAATATTATAGTCAGTTTAAAAAATAGGTTCCCTACCTACCCCTTCACCCAGATAACACTGACCAGTGTACTCCTCCAATGAGTACACTTCTAGGAGTAAACTTGTCTCATGAAAAAGAAATGTATAGAAACTGTTCATCTTCTTCTACTTGAACCACTTAATCAAAACCACTTGCCTCCTCACACAGTGTTCCAGACTTAAAAAGCTTTTTTTCTTTCTTGTACATGCTTCTCCGCATCTCACAATAATTTTCTTTCCACTCTTTGTAATCTGGCTCCACCAAGAGACTCTTTGGCCACTCTGACTCAAAAAGTTTGCTTCCTACTATTCTCTATTTCAACTTCCTGTGTGTAGCTTTCACAATACTTATCATAATTATAATAGTTTTTTTCCTTATTTTTGTTTTGTCTAAACTTCTAAGGCTATTTGCATGATGAGAATAGAAACCATATGTGTCATGTTATTCTTTATAACCATAACATTAATCATACCGGGTAACATATTTTAGATAATAAATATTTTTGGAATGAATAAATGAATGAAAATTGGTGCAAATGTCTGTCTTATATAGTACTGAGGAAGTGTAGAAGTCAAAACAGAACAGAAATACATGTTATGTTACAGTAAAAATTTATATCAATTTATTTATATGAAACACACTGCAACACTGTGGCATTCTTTTTATATTCTCCCTAAGAGATTCATTGACATGGTCACTTGGTTTTGGTAGTTGCATGTTTTCTTCACGTATTAGAATTTAAGCTCCTTGAGCTGAAAGATTGGGTTGTAATACTGTAGTAACAATAATTGTTTTGAATCAGAAGATTGTGTGAAGGGGGAAGATAAAGAGCTATAATTTGAGGTCCGTAAGGGAGAAGAGTTTGTTTATAAGCTAGATGTGGGAGCAAAGCAAAACACATTAGAACCAAATGACATTCAAGATAGAAAGAGATATTGAGACAACAATATAGTTATATTACTAGAATGTTCACAACTAATTATAAGTATTAAGTTACTTGGTTATATTAACTATATTAAGTTATAATAGTAAGTTTACTTCAGGAAAGTGAGAGATCCTTTGAGATTGAGGAGGCTGGAAGAATTTCCACAGAGAACTCAGGATTTAGATTTACTCTTAGAGGATGAGTTGGGTTGAGATAATGTCAACTGAGTCTTCTGTTTTCTGTTTGGTACTAATGAGCTCTATTTCTGCAGTGTAGTACTTTTTTTGTAGTGACATTTTTACAAGATGAAAACAATTTAAAAGGCTATAGTATTCTAATTTGGGTAGACAGCATTTTAATTATTAGAGTTACCAAACTAATACAATTAAATAAAGGAAAATAATTTATTAACAATTAAATACTTGAAATGATTTATTGTACTCAGCATGAAAATAATTGGCCCATGGTTTTTTACAAAGTAAAAGGATGCAGGCTGGCTAAATAGCTCAGCTGACTGAAGCACCTGCAAACAGGAGTAGGGGCCAAGGGTTCAATTTCTGGGCTTGTTGTGCCTTCCCTGCCCCTGAGGCACACTGAGACTGCAATTGAGACTGGGCGTGGTGGTGTGTGCCTGTAATCCCAGTTCTTGTGAAGCTGTGAACAGAAGAATCACCACAAGTCCAATCTGGTAGTGAGACCTTGAACACCCTGTAGACCCTTTCCTAAAATATAACAACAACAACAACAACAACAACAACAACAACAACAAAAGAAAGGATGCAACTACTGCCTTTCAATGCCAAGGGAATGAAAAAGAAATGGCTTTGGGTTCTTTTTTTTTTTTTTGTGCTCCACCTCTTTATTGTTGAAATCACACGCAATTCAAAGTAACTGTCAGTGAGGCTTCTGTTAAAAGATCTTCCAGCAGACTGCTTCAGTTTTATGATTAAACAATATTGCACTTTAAGATAACCTTCAGGATTCTCTTCACGGAAGGCAAGTATTGTTTCATCTGTGCTTTCTCTTAAGACTAACAGCAGAAAACTACTTTAAGAATCAGTATTTCAGGGTACAGTAACATAATAAAGTACCTATTTTAGAATCTTAGAGGTTAAATTGTAGGAAACTCTTTAGCCCATAATTAGTACAAAGTTTACATAGTATTTTTCATTTTAGTGGTCCAAGATGCAAAGGTTTCCAGATACAATTTTGTTCTCTAATACTGCTCCAGGTGGGATGTCAATTCTGTCACCATGATTTGCAGTGATGATAGCTGTTCCCTTTAATGAAACATTTTTGCCAAATGTCACATCCCCTGAAACTGTGAGGTGATCCAATTCAAGCATATCTGGTATACTTTCAAATCTTCTTAGGTAATCTTGAACCTTTGTAAATGAACTGCCTAATTTAACCAAGGGCACTGTCGGAAATTCCCGCTTTTCACTCATCGTCAGAGATCCTGCATTAAGGCTATAGAGGTTTGACATCACAAGCAAGAGATCTGATGTGGTTTTTACAGGAAGAAAACAGCTTCTTGGAGCATTAATACCTAAGGAATTCTCAAAACTTTTAATCGCAGCCCCTACTGCAGTTTCTAGCTGAATGACATTCAGGCCTCCATCCAAAGTCTTTGGATTCACAATGATTTCCATGTCAATGGCATTCTGTTCCTGCAGTCTTTTAACTGCTGCAAGAGAAATCCATAGGTTGTTTGTGTTAAATATTTTAAATTTTGATACAGACTTGAACTCATCAACATGTGCTTTTGGCACTTGAGCGATCTCCATCAGTCTCAGTTTGCCTTCATATTGAGTGAGTGTCCCACCCTTTACATCTGCACGTGTTTTATTCGTGACTTCCATGACAAATTCACAGAGTTTCCCATTGGGTGGGTTCATCAGATGATTAAGAATATAAAGATCCACTGTGGCACCCAGATTATCAATGTTAGACACAAAAATATATTCTTTGCTTTCTCCTATAAAGGTGTCAAGCAAACCAGAGTTGTAGAAACTGGCGTAGATATCACCATGACCTGGGGGGTACCAAGCTTCTGTGTTCTCCCCTGAGTAAGATACATCCTTTGCTACAGGAAGTAAAGATTCTTTATTAATCCTTGGGTACCTGCTTTGATTGAAAGTGTAGATTTTCACACGACAATGATTATACTTCTGTAATATTTTTTTGGTATCTTCATTCATGTTAAAAGAATTCATTAAAACAAGAGGAACATTTGTATTGTAGGTTTTGTTCAAATGTTCAGTTTGTTGAACAGTCAGATCCAAAAAGGTATTCTCATTCCTCACACCAATCAGACTTTTAGGACCTTTGCAGCCCATGCTGATTCCTAAACCACCATTGAGTTTGACCACCACTAGCTTGTTCAACACAGAAGATATGTTATCAGGCAGTCCTCTGGCCTTTATCTTTTCATATGGCTGAATTGAATCTTCTGGAGGACTTTGGATTTTCCCCCAATCCACAGAAGGTCCCTTTTCTTGCAAAAATCTATGAAATAGCTTCCAAAATCCATCAAGATCTTTTTTAGTGTGCTCAAACTCATGTGAGGGTGCTGTGGTAAGTATTTTTTCTAATTCTTTCTTCACAGATAATTCTAGCTCTTGTCTAATGACTTCTTGGAATTGAGAAGCACCATCTTGAGACATTGCTTTGCTAAGATCTTCGTCTCTTCTTTTAGCAGCTGAGAAAATGGGGGTGTCTATGGTGCCCCAGAAAAAAGGCTCTCAGGCTGAGAGAATGCCACCTCTGAGGCACTTTTCTCTCCCCCTCTTCCCCACATACAGGCACACCTGGAACCTGTCGCCAGCAATCGCAGCCCAGCTGCTGCCCGCCTCTCTTCCCACTAGTCAGCCGGCTCCCTACACCAGAGTCCCCACTTTCTCTCAAACACCTCCCCTCCCCCTTCATTCAGAGCAGCCACCTCAATGTGGAAATGTCCCTACTCGGCTTTGGGTTCTGATTACTGTATGTTTTCATATTTACCTCTGAAAAGCTCAAATTTTAACTGCATTTAAAATATAAGAATGAGGTATCTCAAAGAATGGAGTCTTCCGGGCCTGTAGCACTACACAACAAGTGGCAGTGTTTGCGTGACTGAGAATAAGAACATGGGAGAATTTAGCTCTACAGGCAGAGAAGCTTGGGTGAAGCAACTTCTATGCCAGATTTCCAAGAACTAGATCAAATCGTTGTGGGCTTTTGAGTTCCAAAGTGTTTAGGTGCTTGGTGTCCTGATACAAACATTGGATAAGACAGACAGAAAAGGTGGCAGGGTTGTAAATTTATCAAATGTGGAACAGAAGTGTGCTCTGCAGGGTGAGGGCAGGCTGGTGAGCAGACTCACAGGTGCCATGAGGTTAGTGGCAGGTGCCTTTTGTATCTCTCATTCCTAGACTGCTTTCCCCCATGGGAACAAGACATTTGGAACAATTATCCTATCAGAAATTCACTCAGATCTATGCTGTCCTATCAAAGGAAACCCCTTGGTTTCCTGTCAGATGTCAGTGCTGAGTTGAAAACAGCACTTTCTACTTGGTCCCTTGTGCAGGACTCAGGACTCGCATAGCAATCCCTGATTTTGTGCGCTGCGTCTCCATGACCCATAGGATGTACCTGCTTGCCCAACCAGTTTACCCCCTCTATACTCTTACCTCAAGATAACTTTGAGGTAACAAATTGTTAACCAATTGAAAAATAGATTGCAATTTCAACTCTCTAATTAAAAAACCATATCCAAAGTTAGCCTATTTTCAAAGGAAAGGGGGTAAGACAAAGATCTGTTATTTCTAGATTCATCTGTGTCTGTGGAATTCATATTTATATATTCAGGTTGAAGGAATGGTTGGGATTTGGAAGAAAGACAGGGTGTCATTACAGGTTTAAATTAGAGGTTAAACAGAGTTAGCTACTAGATTAGTTTACAGTAGAGGTAGAGAGCTCTGCCATTTAAATGTCACTGTTTTGATATTGTCTTGGAACTTTTGTGACTGCCATGATCCTCTCTGCAGACACCATAGTCTGACACATTTCCTGCACCTAAGCAATTCCTTAGGCATTATTTAATGGTCCCATCAAATGGTGTTCTAACAAGGCCCATTTGTCATTTGCTAAGCTACTACAAATTATAAGGGAAAGGAAAATCGCTCAGCAGAAAGAGTTTAGGAACAGGCAAGAGGCTTACTTGCTAAGCCTGGATGAATAACTTGCTGAATTAAAAACATATATTCATCAAGAACATGTCAGAAATGTGCTGCATTAAGACCCCAGTTTTTAGTGCTATGTTTTGATTTAGGGAGCACCCAGTTTGCCATGTGCATGAAGAGAGTGTTCGTTCTTTCACTCATGAAAACTTCATGAGTGTCCAGAGCATTCAAATCCCCAAGCAAACAAAAGAATGTCTTTTATTATTATCTCAGTTGGAGTCTGTTTAGAATAAAATTGAGCTATTTCCCAAATGGCTAAAAATGAGTCACTGAATATTATTCAAACAAGGAAGAGCACGTAGTTTCCTCAATGTAAGTCTATTAACTTCTATATTTTCTTAAGAGATTAGTTTGTGATTAGGCCTATTTATCATTTGAAAAGAAATCTTTAAGCAAAGAAAACCACCGACACTTACCTACTAACTCATAATGTTTTTACAGGGTTTCCACATTATTTATATAAATTACTGAGCTTCAGGTGTTAAATTTTAATAAAATAAATAGCTCTGATTTTAAGTAAGCATTTTTTTTTTTTATTGCTTAGGCCAGTATCTTAATTCTTATTTCCTTTGGTCTTCTAAAACTTTTTTTAATGTTGCAAAATTTGATATTAAGGTATGCTGTTCTGTCTCAGCATGCATGAACCTAGTCAGGTCAACTCTCACTGAAAGTTGATGGGAAGCTGTTGACTGGAAGCAGTGCTGAGTTCAGTCAGAAAACATCGACTTAACTTGAAATCTGTTTCTATAGGGAAAAATCAGATGTATTGATTTCTTTTTCTTCAATTGTTTTAGATACTTTGTACATGGTGTCCAGAAAAAAAATGAGTGACTCTTAAATTTAAAAAGTGTGATCTTGTACTTTGCCTCTGATTTTAAAGGATTTCTGATTAAACGTCTTGATCATTGAGTTTATGTTGCATGTATGAAATCATTCACTCATTCATCAAAGGATTGATTACTCATAGTGATGATAATTTCTGTTTATGAAGCACTCGGATACTTTATTTCTCATTAATCCTTGTAAATGGCTCTGTGAAGAAAGAAGCTATTGATCCTTTTGTAGCCAAGGACCTTGTGCCCTTGAAAGGTTAGCAACATTTGCAATGCATGTTAGCCCATCCAGGAGGCTAGGATAAACATCCTTTCTACCCCCAACTCTTATCTTTTGTCATTGTACCATGGCATGGCCCTTGAACTTTTAGATATTGTGTATCAATAAACAGCTCAGTGAATTAAAGTGCCTGCAAGCAGGTGCAGGGGCTGGGGGTTCTATCCCCAGGCCTGTCATGCTGGCTACAACCCCGGGCCATGCTGAGATGGCAATTGAGACTGGGAGTGGAGGTGCACACCTGTAATCCCAGCTCTTGGGAGGTTGTAAACAGGCGAATCACTACAAGTCCGATCTAGCAGTGAGACCCTGAACACCCTGTAGACCCTTCCCTTAAAAAAAATAAAAAAAATTCAAAAAGCAAAAACAAACAGAAAAGTCGACAATTTATACAGCCAGATAATTAAAAAATGAAAAGGAATAATCACTGTCTACTTATTTTGCTGTTTACTTTTGAAATATTTTATAAAAGAATAGGCATATAATTGTACTTATTATATTTAAAATATTATCATGTAACATTGCTCCACATTACATTGTATTTTCGGAGGACCACAAGTCATATGTCTGACTCCTAATCTGGAGAGAATGATGACCTTGCATGTATGCGTAGTAATATAACCCAGGGCTTTTCAATCACAAGAAAGCAAGGAGGTCACATATTAGAAGAAAGAACAGTTCTTCCTGGGAAAGGACAGCTGGCAACCTTATAGCAACATACTTATATAAACATTGCCTTGAACATTCTCATTTGGTGACAACTCTTCCATGAACCAGTGTATCTCTGAGGACAAGCATTTGGGGACCACGTAGAACAAAACACTGTTTTTCCTCATCTACTTCTGAGGTAGGGAGACAGAGCAGCAGGGATACATTTCAGTATCACTTTCTCAACCTATAGTGTAAATAAGGGCTCTTCCCGTGCCTGTCAGCACTGCAGGCAGAAGCTTGGTATCTTTTATTTTCCCTGTATTATCTTAGAACACAGCCTTTTTCCTATTCCCTAAGGAAATGGACTAAATGGGGTTTTCCTGTCCACTTTATTGTTTCAGATATTTGCCAACTCTTAGCTGGCCTTCCCCCCCCCCCACTGATAGTCCCTGCACATAGAAGAGCAGAAGGGCCCCTAAAGGTGCTATGTAACAAAAAGGACTATTTGTTTTAACTCTAAGAGCAACTAAACAATTAAAAAGCAAGAATACCTTTATCAATAGGAGCTGGAATGCTTAACCTCATAGCTGAGACCAGCCGCCGTTAGTGTAGTAAACTGGTTTCCACAGTTTACAGGATTAAGGAATAGCTTTCCTCAGTGCTACTGTTACATAATTTGAATTAATTTAATGGCAGTGTTACTTACATAAATGCAAACATAAAACTAGGTATAAACTCAGATGCTTATAACACTTTTAATTATAAAACTGAAGCAAATTTGCAAATTAAATAAGAACAAAACTCTAAAACCAATAAAAATCAAATTAAAAACATTAATTTCATGTGACAAGTGAAGTTTATTGAAATTAAATTTCTGCTCACAGTGTAAATATGTTTTTCTAGTTGCCATGGTACAGTTCTGGAATTTGGCATCCTTGTTCTGTCCAGTCAGGCAGTGGAGTGGCCCCAATTCTCCCACTCTTTCTCCATTTGAACTATAGAGAAACTTGGTACATGGATCTCATTTGCTTTCATTTGACATAAATGTACCTTTTATTTTATAATTTGCCTCTTTTTTGCCTCTCATTTTTCCAAGTCAGCGAAACTACTGCTTGATGGTAAAGTGATCATGAACAAGAACACAAAGATAATGAAATTATGTTGTCTTTTTAAAACCTCAGTACAAGGACTATTTTGGTTTTCCATGTTTCCTGCTGCCAGGCTCCAGAAGAAATGGCAGAGTTAGTGACTGCTCCTTCTTCGTGCCCTTGCTACTCACACCTGTAACTTGGGACACAGTAGGCCCTCAACCGTCATTGGAGAATCAATGAATAAATGAGTATCAGTCCTAGTAATTGGAAGGAATGGTCTGGGAAAGAACTGGATGTGAACCCTCAAGGAGGCTGACTAGTGGATAATATAGCAGTGGAGCAGTGGAAGAAAATTAGAAAAAGACCATGAGACATTTCTTTATCTACATGTGGATTTTGCTGATGTCCCGTAAGAAGGAAATAATAGACAATACCAGGATCATATTCATGGAATTCTATATTGACTGCAGTTTTCATGTATAGATTTATCATTATGTTATTTATTTAGTAAACAATGAACAACCCATTCCATGATATAAATGTAGTCATTATCAATGAATATAAATTGTACCTTTAAAGGTAGTTAGAGGGGTTGGAGAGATAGCTCAGTTGAATAAGCGCTTGCCTGGTGAGCACAAGGGCCTGAATTCTATCCCCAGCTCAGAGAAAAAAAAAAAAGGCAGAGGCAAATGGTGGGCACAGGAAACTGGTATTATCAGCATCTTGTTTCTTAACATGCACCAGTCAAAGCTAAGGTTGGTTGTAGTACTGCATTTTGAGTGTTAGTTTCCTTCTAAAATTTGTAT